GTAGATCTATACTTTTCCTTTATTGATTAATTAATTTCTTCTTTAGTACAGATTGATCTACGAGGTGATCTATCAGGATTTCTATCGTCCCATCCAAAATCTTTATTGGTATCCCTTCACCATTTTGACACAATTGATCCAATTTTCCCCTCTATGGATCGCGCACAATCGGGATATCATCTACTAAATGCTGCAAAATTTGATCAATCGCGAATGTTACAACAAACTATTTGTTACAAAAGATCCAACAATTGGACGTTTTCAATTTCATGGGGATATTCAGCTAATATTTATGAGAATATGATGCCTAGAAGTTGGATACAAAGACCAATTGAAACATTTAATCCATGGGGTAACATTACACTTCCACCACATTATAATTTTGATACTAGAAATTTTTCTTGGGATCCTTGTGAAACCCCTCATATGTATTTCTTCCAGTCTATTGAGATAACTCCACGAAACAAAATTCTTACAAAATATATTAGAGCATGGCCTCGAGGGATTGGAGTTTGTTTGAATCCAGGAAGCTATCCCGCGGAGTATGTTAATGAAATTCATGTTTACTCACCAACAACAAAACGTCTCAAGGTAATATTTCTTTTCACTTAAATTTCTTACAAACTTTATATGAGTTTAACTTTCGTAAACTGACTATAGAAAATGGGATTACTAACTTTGAGATAAAGGTGAGCAAGAACTCTTCATATTGACAATGTAATATAAGTTAAATTCGATTATATTAAAACATACATGATTGTAATCATGTAAAAAATGAACTTAGAAAATAATTCTCTTGCACCTAAGCAATCAAAGAATAAATAAAATTCAATAGATATTACTTGAAATGTAGGGTCCTGTGGCTTTTGTTGTTTGTTGTTTGGTTATGTTGCATTTGTTAGAAAATCTACTTCTTGTATGAAAATTACAAAAAAGAAAATAAAAAAAATCTCCAGTATGATAGATTTTTATTAATTTTATTTTTTATTTTTTCCAGATCAATAGATGTGAATGTTGTGACGTAATTCATAAGGCTGGATCATTTAAGGCTGCTGTTAGGTACAGAGAGTGTAAGTTAGATGAGATAATAGCCTGATCAAGTTGATGTATACAAATTCTTATCAATTTTGTTTAATTATCATTGAAAGAATGACCATTCTTTGTCTCTTATACATGGCTGGCATATTTGATTGGGAAAATGCACGAGTATTCCCTCGACCTATGTTGAAAATTTTAGAGATACACTTATATTATATTAACGTCCTATGACCCTCTGGACTTATTTTATAAATAATTTTCTACCCTTTTCGTTCTACGTGACACTATCTTGTGGATCCAGCGTGTGTTCACATTTTTTTCAAGCTAGTGCCACGTAGGTCGAAAAGGGATCGAAAATTGTTTATAAATAAAGTTCAGGGGTAATAGGACCTTATTATAGTATAAGTGTGTCTTTGAAACTTTGGACATAAATTGAAGGGGTACTTATACATTTTCTCCTATTTGTTATTCTCTTAAAAGAAAAAATACATAAAATTTAACAATAAAGATATCTAATTAGTTAATTTCGCATACACAAATTTATTTTAAATTTTAAAAATACTAGTACAATTATCTGCTCTTCCCTTAGGAATTTAATATCACGAAATTTATAAAATAATATGTTAAATCTAACAGATGTTAAAACTAAAACACTATATTATTTTGCATACAAGATTACGTAGTAAGGAACATTAATAACGTAAAGGAAAATGAAAATTATAACATGTTACCATTTATCCTTAATAACATAAGTGTAAATTTATGAATGTAAAAAAATATCAGAATCTAACAATTGTGTTAGTGAACAACTCAACTGGAGCAAAATACACGAATATTTAATTGTGCAAAAGAAAAAAAAATAAGAAGAATAAGAAGTTCAGAATTTTCATTGTTTTAAAATGACAGGAAATCCCCTATTTAAAGACAACAGACGGTATTGTGAACAAATATTTCTTGTGCCTTATAAAGAAATGTCACAACTATTTGAAAAAGTTGCAATCTTTCGAAAAGGTCACAATCTTTTATAAAAGTCACAACTTTTCATAGAAATTGTAAGTCTTTATTGAAGTCACAACTTTTCATAAAAATCACAATATTTACAATTTTTTATGAAAGGGAAGACTAGTTTTGAAAATAAATAAATTAAAATGGGAATCATGACTTGTGATGACATCACGTAGGCGGACCTAGGATTCTCTTTTATAGTAGAGAAAATTCATCAAATCTCCCCTGAACTTGGCATCAAAACTTATTTTAGTACTTTAACTATACGAGCTTTAAATACCCCCTTAACAATTTTGAAGTGATTAAATGACTAACGTGACAAAGTGAGTGTACTCACTCTTCTAAAAACGTGTGAAATAGTTAAAAAAAAAATTAAAAAATGGAATGGTTATATCATATACATGTCATTTTTTTATTGGCCAATATATAACTAATAGTTTTTATTTTTTTTATATAAATTAAATTTATAAAACATGCGAAATTTCTTGTTTAAAAGTAAATGAAATTTGTGTGTTCAATATTTTTTTTAAAGAAAATAAATAATCTTTTTGTTTTCTCTTTATTTTGTTGTCTTCCCCATATGTTTTCTTTCCCATTTAAACACTTCTTATACCTTTCTTCTTCCATATAAGTCATGTTTCCTTCAAGTTCATCTCACCCCTCACTAGCCATTCGTCAATCCATAAGATTCAACACCTATTTGAATATTAATTTCTTGAATTTTGAGTGAACCATTTTGAATTATATATGCAAAAAAGTGGGTCTATCAACTTTCTTATACAACTTTCAATTTTCATTTGAGTTGTTAAGAAAAAAAATACTTTAAGAAAATATCATCTCCAATGACAGATTTGTAGGATAGAATGGGTGGAAGAAGGTGAGACAATTTTTAATTTTAAAATGCATTTTAAATTTATTGATTAGTGCAATGTATTTCAAAAAAAAATTTTAAGAAAAAGGTTGAAAATCCATATAAAAGACAAAAAATTAATGATGTGGTGCTTAAATGACAATAACGTGACGCTTATATGGCTATATATATCAATATGATGTGACAAATGAGAGTGATATTTTACTCTCAGGGTTATATTTACTTCACTTCCAAGATATTAAGGGGGATACTTAAACGCCCACGCCATGTTCATGGAAATTTGATATATTTTCTCTTTATATTATAATATAGGGAAAAGGGACGGATTTACCCCCGAACTTTAATAAAAGGTGAGTATATACCCTTTGTTATACTAGTGCACATGTATATCTCTACCGTCTAATTAGTGGTACAAATATAACCTTGTCACTAACGGACCCATATTTTATTACATGTGTCATGATCCTATTATACTACCTGTTTGACCCCTTTTATATCCCATAATTCATAACCCGCCTCATAACCCATTAAAAGAATCCTAATTAAAACAGACAAACTAATATTCACCCAAATATCTCACACACCAAAACCCTAGTCGTCTCCTGTTTTTCGCGATTCAAGTTCGTCTTCGTCCGATCCAATTTCTTCTTCGTTGAGACGACCATAATTTCAAATTTCATCTATCGTGCGCCGGTCATAATTTCCTATTTCATGTATCTATCGTCTCCTTCAATTCATACCTAAAATCATGTCTGAAAGTTCTTGTGATTCACTTAGTAACTCCATGATAATGACTTGTTTTTGTAATGAATTGGCTCGTTGTTTCACTTCAAGGAATCCATTGAACCCCGGAAGAAGATTTTATAGATGTTCTAAACCTAAGGTATATTTTTTGCCTAACAGGAAATTAATATGATTTGTGCATGTATTTTGGTGTTCATGATTTCTTCTCTGTTATTTTTATTAGATTGAAAATTATAGATTTTGGAGGTGGTAAGACAATTCTTCAGAAACTCTTCTATTCAAGTTAATTTATTGAAGTCTAAATTGAAAGTTGCTATGTTGAAAATGGAGAATTTGAGAGAGTCGTTGAATGCAATTAAGATTGAAAGAGACAATTTGAAGAAGAAATTTGAGAATTTAGAGATTTTAAACTACTTCGAGGTGAAAAAATAAAGAAATTTGGAAGATAAAGTGTCAAAGTTGAAGATGTTTTGTATATTGTCATTTACTGTGTTTGTGGTATTTGTTGTTGCAATTTTCAAATGTTAGTTATTTCAACTATTTGTAGTTTCAAGTGTTAGTTATTTCAATTGTTTCCTATGTATTAGTGAATCTTATGTTTGAATATTGACCATTATTTTCAAGTGTTGCTTCAAATTTATTGTGAATTTCAAGTGTTGGATTTGAAACATTATTCAAGTCTTTTGCCTTAAAACTTGTAGTATTTTGTTGTGTTATAGTCTTTATGTTGAAGACGGATAGACTTTGTCGTATTGCCACTATGTTTTTCTTGAATAAGGGTTTCTGTTGACACCCAATTTTGACCTTCCCCGATATAAATTAGTTAACAAGCTTCTTAATTTCCAAACGAGTTAAAATAACTAGTTTTATAAAATTTTCAAGAAAATATTATCTATAATATTTTGCAAGTTATAATGTTAAATAGTTTTGTCACTTTTCTTTATAATTTTTTATTTGATATATATGTTCAAATGACTACGTATAGGATTAGTTTATTTTATGAATATTTGAAGATCGTCTCAGGTAATATTTTATTTAACTAAATTGTTGGTCGATTAGTTTAGTCATTCAGGGGTATATATTATGTTAACTAATTTATAATTAAGTCGATTAATTTATATCGTTAAGATTACGAAGCTGATTAATTCATTATCCAGTTCCTAAACCCTTTGACAAATCAAGTTTTGACAAACCAAGTTTTGGGGCCTCTCTTTGATTTTAGCAAACCCAATTCTTTTTAAATCTTTCAGCAGCCTCCTATCAATTTGGCCCAGTATGCAACATTCATTTACTTTGAGCAACATAAAATCAGCCCACTCTCCCTTATCGAAAATTGTACTCGAAGGCCCAGGTGTCGAAATCTCCCTTCCCTCTCGTCCTTCCCCTCAAATTGGATGTCCCAAATTCTTTTTTCCGTTGAGCAATTGTACTATTCAGTCGAAAAATCCTACTCCTTTGTCATCCTCTCGATGTTAGGGAGGATTTTTTGGGGGAGGAATTGAAAAAAAAAAAAGAGAAGACACTAGTTCGAGAGACAACTTACATTTAAGAGGTTGAAGGCAACATATAGAAACCAAATTTGAAGTGATGCTAAGGTTCTCAACGTTTGAGCCAGCTTCTATCCGGTCCCTTCCTCGTTCCTTTCTTATTCACTCACCGTCTTCCATTGTGGTCGTGGAAAGCTGTTTCCCTCGCTCGTATAGTCTCAGTCGCTGCTTGGAGAAAGGTAACGCTTCCTCCTTTATTTATGTCTTATTTCGATTCTTAGTACTATGTGATGAGTATTCTGTTGGATTCTCTGGCTCCATCATTGTTTTCTTCTTTATTTCGACTTGTATACTCTTCTTTGAATCATTGTTCGTTCATCTCATTGTCTTAGTTAAATGTATGAACCCGAATTGGGTAATGCTTAGAGTTTGGCTTCCGTTTTGTTTCAAATCGCGTGATTGTCTTAGTTCTAGTTGGAAAAGGCATGCGTGTGAACTTCCATTTTGATCATATTTTGCTTCTAGATTAGTGTGTGTTTGCATTCATATGACTCGTTCGTCTTCATGTCATTCTTCAGTAGATTCGTGTAGTTTTTGGTGATTAGGCGTTCTCGTAACTCATCTGTTCATCGTAGATGCTCTATTGTTTTGCTTTGACTTTAAAGAGTTTGTTGCTAACTAATATATCTTCATCATTGTTTCGTTTTCTTGGTTATATGCCCTTCTCTTCTTGCTGATTTTTGCCTTTCTTTTTATCGCATTGATCGAGTTCCTTGGGATCTCTCAAGGCTCAATTTTCTCTGTTGATTCCCATTTTGGCCAATTTAGGAAGCAGATGGACAGGTTTTGACGACTATATGGTGCTGGAAATTCATTTTTTAGTCCTTGAAAGTCGAAAAAAAAGATGATATACCGGATGTATACACTGGTATACGGTAGAAATATATGGTATATAGTTGATTACGTGCCAATACAGGAAAAACGTAGAAATACGAAGATCTGGAAACATTTACAGGTCTGGGAGCTCAATGATTATCGATATACATGACGTATACACAGGATATACACTCCATGTATATCAAGGAGGACAAAAGAAAGGAAAGGGGGCCAGAAGCCCAATGAATAATTCAGCAGGCCCGACTGGTTTCGAAATGGGCAAGACCTATTTTGGGTCATTCTTTTAAAATGGGACAAAGCTACAAGATTTAGAGTTTGGGCTTGGCCCAAGTTCAAATATTTCTTCCTTCTATTATTAACTATGTGTTATTATTGTTACATTGACTAACTTTTGGTGGAATTTTGTTTATTCCCAAGGATAGCCATTTCTTTCTATATTCAATATATAAATATTTATTTTACCTATATTTTACTATTTAGTTCTTTTTATCGAGTTTGATTACTTTCCCTTAAATAAAAATAATAAAATAAAATAAAATAAATAGTAACAAAAATCATATAAATAAGTAAGTAAATAGATAAATTTTCTCATTATTTAGTTAAATTTGGAAAAGTTATTTTAAAAGGTCATTTAGTCAAATCGCCGGTCAATCGCGAGTTAGCGGGCATTCCGAGGGTCTAACATCTTCTCGAAATGTACATTCGAACCGTTTTCAATTGATTTTTATCTGTTTTAAATCTTTTGAAAAAATAATTTTAAGTTTTTCTTGATTTTACTAAAAATCAAGTGGCAACTCTGTTAATTTGGAAGGTCAATTTTTCTTAAATCATAAGATTAATTGATTTTTCAAAACTTAGTCATTTTTACTATTAATTATATATTATATATTTTTTAAGTAAAACAGTTTAGAAAATAAACTGAAAATAAAAGCAAGAACGGAAAGATACACAACAAAACAACAATAAAGAGCAACGGAAAGATACATAACAAAACAACTTAAGAAAAGTGCAACTCATTTCAGATCACAAACTGCAAACTTATTTACCACATCAGTCGACCACCATTGATAGAGCAATTGGTATAAGAAATATATACCACAACAACTTATCGTACTACATCAACAGAACCCAATAGATACAAGACACTATATATAACATTAACTTGGTCATATATAAGCAAAACGATAGTTAGTTTTATCTGATACACTCAGCCTATACAAAAAGTAAAAGTGAAACCAAAACTACAACTATAAGTTAAGGCACTAGCCTACACAAAACATACCAAAATAATAAGTTTAGCCTTAATATCATTTAAGGCACCAACCTACACAAACAGTAGCAAAAACTGCACCAACATATACAAAACAATACCAACACAATAGCATTATCCCCTTCTTGGCCTCAACTTTCATAGTTGATTTGTAGTAAATGCACCCTGTCCATTCCAAGTTAAGTCAGTTGGTGCTATGGGAATATTTGTAGGTTCACTAACACCAAATTTATCATCTCTCAAGCCTATTACTCTACTCTCAATTGGTTATTGTGGATTTTGTCTCTTTCTGAATCTTTTTAGAAAAGATTTTTTCTGAGATTGATCTTGGCCTTAGCCTATGGTCTTCATCATCATCCTTAGTTACTTGAAAATAGCTGTTAGAAGAAGCATATTCAAACTGACTTTCTTGTGTTGGTTATGGGGTTGTGCAGTTGATGTCTTCCTCAGAAGCTTCATCTTCATCTTCATCAACTAAACCTCTCCTAGGCTGTCTCTTTTTTCCCCTGCCAGAATTTTTCCCTTTGTTAGCAGGTTGTTTCCCTTGCTTCTTAGTAGGTTGTTTCCCCTGCTTTGCCTTATTAATCATAATAGAAGATATAGAATTAAGTAGTGAAATAGAATAAGTATTTGATGAAATTAAAGATTAAAGAGAAATGAAAATTACCTTTTTACATCCTTTTGCATTGTGATTTTGTTCTCACAATTACTACATGTCATCACTTTTCCTTTTCTTGTTAGCTTCCATACTCCTTGCCTCTTAACAACTTCATTCTTTTCTCTTTCCCTCATTCGCTTAGGTTTACCAACAAGCTTGACCAATTCTGGTGGTTCAATAGCATGCATAAGGTTGTAATTTGTGTTTGTAAATTGCCAAGGCTGCCTCTTTACTATAGTACCAATGATTTCTTTTTTTGATATCCTTATTTTGTGCTCCGCGGCCTTAATTACATGTGGACATGGAATTCCAACAGATCCCATGTTCTGCATGTGCATTTTTTTCTCTTAAGTTGACAATATGTCTATCTGCACCTTCAGTAACCTCATAGCCATTATCCCATTTCCACTCACCTCACAGACCTTTGAAATCTTCAAATACTCATTAAACAACAACTCACTTTTGGGACTAAACCCATCATTTTTCCGCTTCTTCACAACAACCTCTTTTGCTGCCAACCTCTCAATTATTTTGACCCTAATGTCTTCCAACATTTCAATAATTGGCTTGTACCTTGCTTCAAGTATCCATGCATTGAATGATTCAGTAAAGTTATTGTCCATAGCCTGATTTTTGCACACAGTATCTAAATAGGCTATGCACCATGCTTTTGGAGGATACTTGTCTATTAAATCTTGTCCAGCCTCTCCATTAACTTCCTTGGTCTCTTGAAGTTGGTCCTCAAACTCCTCTGTAAATGATGACCATGCAGCCCACCATAGCAACTTTTTCAGCTCGCCTTTGCCCCCATCTTCTGCACCAATATGCCTCAATATGCCTTGCACAATATCTCTGATGTGCTTTAGGCAAGACTGTCCTTACTGCTTCAAGCAACACCTAATTATCAAATTAAAACAACTAAAATTAATAAAGGAAACAGTATCAAGAAAATGGAATTAAATTGCAAATCACTAGTATAATATTACCTTCTACATATCTGATATGAATGTCATTCCTTCACCATTTTGAAGGTCAAGGGAATGTTGCAAATGTTGCATAAACGATGTCCAAGTCCTCTTAGCCTCTTTGTCAACCACAATCAAGCTAGAGGGTAGAAAGAGTTATCACTGTTTTGACCAACAACACACAATACTTGTCCCTTAGCCTTTCCTTTAAGGAACGTACCATCTAACCCAGACTTAAAACACAGGTTCATTGCCTTGAAACAGATATACATCCTAAGAAATTTTATCTAACCATTAGATAGTGTCTCTTTAGACAAATCTATCACAATGTCAGACCCTACAACTTCTCAATTCAGTAGCATAACCCTCTAATTTGTTGTAAGAGTCTACAAAGCTACCTTCTAAACTCTCCAATATCTCCTTTTTTCGCTCTCTTGCACTTTGCTTCACTAACATTGAGCTAAAAAACTCTATGCAAATCAGCCTTCATTTGTTTGACCTTGTACGTGGGGTCACTTTGCAATTTGTTTGACCTGCACCCTATACTTAAGACTTATGTCACCACTAATTTATTTTGAAATCTTATTGTCACTTTTTTTTAAAAGTCTCGTATTAGTGGGTGCTAAATATTTAGAAGATGAAACTTTGACTACACTATTTTAATTGATATTTGAAATGTAATTGATTAACAAAAGAAATTTTTTGTACTTTATTTTGAATAAATATTTCTACATGTGTAATGTGTTAGTATGATACAATTGAGACCTTCTTTTAGATTGACGAAGTTATAATTCTCTATTATACGAATATATATTAGTCGAAATTGAACAAACTGTAGTTACCGATTACCATACTTTATAAAAATAAAATCGAATTGAAAATACTAAATCATACCGAATTAAATTGATAGGACAATGGTATAGTAGTTTTAAAAAACAAATAATGAAATTATGGTATACAAGTTTTTAAATACCATACCATACCAGCCTTAGAGCGAATAGTGTGGCGCAAGAACTCAAAGAAAAAAAATGGATAGGGAAAGTGAATTGATTGTTAGGGTTTTATTTTATAAGGGTAAATATGAGATTATCTAAAAAAAAATACTGGTAGAGAAGTAATATACTTGATCAAACTGGAATGGCGTTTAAGTAAAAGAATAAAAAGTATGGGAGTGCTAGTTTTGGATTTTTAACTTTTTTAAAGTCATTTAAAACTTATTTTAAGCTATTTTTAAATTTTTCAAACAATTCCAAAAGCTAAAAAGAGCTTAAAAATATATTTTTTTATCTTTTAAGTCAATCCAAACATGCTCTAAGTGTTAAAGTTAGTTGTGAACTACTTGCATTATACACTTATAATATAAGATTATTTATAAATTACAATTGATTACATTAAATAGGACATTGACGTTTAATGGTAGAGGGAAACTCTCATGATTCTGACCCACCGTGAGTGACACCCACATTAATTATGGGGGGAGAATCAACCAACTACTTACACAAAGTCTAAAATGCAATCAAAGTAAGCAGTTCAAAAGATTTTCAAGTAAATAGTCTTCAAATATTAAACCAGGTTTGTAGTAAAGAAACCATAATCGTCCAACAATGCTAAAGTAACTCCCTAGAAACTAAAATTCGCATTATGAAAAAATGTTTGAGTCCGAATGAATGGCTTATCAAAATAAGAGGAATCTATTGTCGCCCAGAAGAAATGTCTCACCCTTTGATTTAGATAATTGAGTTAACACAGTTAAGGTCGCAAATAGTCGCTTGAGCTGACATGCACAATAAACAGAACCATCACAATACAACGAAACAATTAGATTTTCTCATGAAACCCACACATACAATTGTTAGTGTACTAACGTGGTACCCATTCTAATAATATTATATACCGCATGCTACCCGATCTCATCATCAAACACAAAACACAGTCGTATCAACAAAGAACAACAATCATACTTATATATCCAAGTTAACACATCCATTGCATATAATTGATAACATCTTTCATTTCAAATCATGTTCTTCCTTTTCTCCTAATAATAATCATGCATGCAGTACTAATAAAGTAGTTGACCACATATAACAATATAACATAAACGACATAAATAAATAATTATCACGTACCTCAAGTCATGCTTTGAAAGATCGATTGAACTTCCGCCTTCCATTTTGTGAGGCCTTAACTTGTTCTTGGTTAAAACAATGATAAAACATAATAATCAATAAATAATAACCTAATAATATTTTAATTATATCCAAATCCTAAATCTCATGACACTCCCATGATCATCCCACCAAAACTAGGGTCTTTTCACCATTATTTCAAATCAAACTCCCCCTAAGGTCACCCAACAATGATTCTAAGGCATAAGAATCACAATATAAGTAAAAAAGCAATTAACTTACCTTTACTTGTGAAATTTATGGAAATAGGTTAGAGTTCATCTTAGGTCAGCCCTCCTTTTTCCCAAGATGTAATTGCAAAATTATGAGCGGCTTAGGGAAATTTTTTGCATTAACTCATGACCAATCCTACTATAATGCCACCTACTATAATCCACCAGTAAGTACGCCAACCCATAACCCAGTTTGACAAGTAATGAGTGCCAGGGTAAAAGTAAACATAAAATAATAGTAATAATAAGGAAAAGACAGAAGCAAGAAAACCAAAATCTATATACAATGGGAAACCCTCCAAAACTTGGAAGTCATAAGTATATATTTGTCTAGTATGAGCAAGTAAAAGTCTCAAAATTGGACCATAACAAGTCGTTCCAAAGGTAAAGACTAGCTAACATATATACAGAAGAAGACACGTTGATCTAAGATACCAAGTGCTCACCTTTAGTATCCACGAGCTGCAAAAAATGGCATGACCGATCATCACTCGTAGATGGTGCTAGGACCTACATCACAAAAATAATGCATAGTGTAGCATAAGTACCAAACCAAATGTATTTAGTAGGTATCATAGGTCGACTGGGCAAGAAAGGTAAATACAATCAATAAACATAGAATCTAGACAAAAACAAAGGTCAAACGGTTATGAAAAGTAAATAAAAATACACCTAATCTAAACCTAACTGGGTCCCCATAATTGCAGAAGGTACACTTGTGTGCAAGTTTAAATAAAACCTGAATGGACCCTCATAATCCCGACATATACACATAATAGCTAATTTTACAAGAGGGAAAGAAGTGCCTTCGAACCAGATTCATCAGGTGTACGAAGGGCCTTAAAATCCAAGTATAGCCTCTACTAGATGTAATAGCCTCGACCCATTAAGCATTGAATACGACCTCGAACCATAAACATCAACCTCAAAATAAGGGTAACAACCTCAAACTACAATCATCATCCTCGAATTAGAAATAGTCAGTGTCCAGTTGACTCTTACCCTAGCTAGCAAGAGTGACAAAAGAGTTAGTCAACTTTTAAGAAGATAACAATATCGAGACTAAATCATCATAGAACAACATCCAACCACAAGCATTCACATGAGGTTGCAAGCCTAAAACAACCCAATATCAAATCATCGTAAGATGTGTGCTTATCGGCAGCCCATCAGAGTCGTCTCAGGCGCTTCAGAATTGGAAAACTCTTGTACAACATATTCGAAGAGCATGTGATTGGTTTCGATGTAGGCAACAATCTACTTTCTTATCAGCCAAAAGTTCAAAACATAGTAAGGAAAAGCTTGGCTCTAGTTGATGATATTGTTAACTATATTTTGAATATTATTTATCTAGCATATGTTGTTTGACTTGGGATTCAAATGGATTGTGATGGTGATGCCCTATAGCCTCTTGAACATAGAATACAAACATCTCCACATGATTCTACTATGCACTTTCTCTTACACTAACAAAGTAGGCCAACTTTGAGCTCTGATATCAACTTTTCATAACCCGATTTATTAGGTCATGATGACACCTACTACATCCAATATGTAGGTAAGCTTAACTATTAATCTGAAAGTAGAAGCAACAGGCTATCACGCGGAAGATAACAATAAGGAGCAAGAGCCAAAAAAAAATAGAACAAAGAGAAATCAGTAGAAGTATATATATGAAATCATCCCCAAGACCTGACATCAATCAATAATAGAGTACCTAGTTTTAATAAGAATGCAAGGGTTTTAGAATAATCATAGATCTTTCTTTTGTTATTTTGAAACTGGCCTCATGGAGACATTATTTTTAGTTGTGGTTCAGAAAATAGGAACCTGACCTAGCTAGTTGTTAGAGTTGACACCTTACTTTTCTGGCATAATTTAAGCATTTAAATTGTTAAGTTCTAACAATTCGTCCCACTCATTCCATATGTTCAAGTGACAATCTTTTGAACTCGATGAAGCTATCAAAGGAAATTCAAGTGATTGAGGTACGCATTCTCATTTAAATATGTAGAGAAGTCACTTGAATTCAACACATCGAATGATGTTCTTGTTGAAGTTCATTGAAGTAGTAGGTTTGACATTTAGATCTTGTTATTTTTGGGATTAATATTTCTGTACAAGGACCATCAAGATAAAAAGAATTAAGAAAGTTTGAAAAAACCTCAAATCATAAATGTAGCTACTTAAGACAGAGGCCCCCATGCTGGTCTAGTTATGACATTTGTGATTTGAGGTTTTGTCGAACATTCCTAATAGTTTTAATCTTGTGGTCCTTATGCAAAATTACTGATCCTAAAACAACAAGCTCCTAATGTCCAAACCAGCTACTTCAATGAACTTCAGCGGGAACATCATTTCAATGTATTGCATTCAAGTGTTCAATAAATTATTTTTAAGGAACATACACACCTCAATCACCTGAATTTTATTTTATAGCTTTAGCGAGTTCAAAGATGAAACGAGTGGGATGAATTTCTAGAAACTGAAAATATCAATGTTGAAATAATGTTGGAAAAACAAGGTGTCGAATCTAACCAGTACCATGTTACATGTCTATTTAACGGTAATTACTGCCCCGAATAAGTTGTTCAAGGTTCTTTAATGGTGTTTTGGTGATTTTATTGTATGTTATCTCTTAGGGTGTTTTGAGCATTCAATTGTGTTCCAAACAAGCTCAATAAGTCAATTATGATCTTTTAACAGAACAATTTCAAGACTCCTAACGCGAGTTTCATATTCTCAATTTGACTCTATTTTGATCTGTCTCTAATTATTGTAATTGTTGTGTCCAAACGTCTCTATTGACATTGTGCTCAATATTTTGTTAGCATGTCGTGATCGGAGGTGCTTAGTAAGTGGAAAACTCATGTGCAACATATTTGGAGTACGTGTGATCAGCTTCGATATAGGATACAATCTACGTTCTTGTTAGACAAAAGTTTGAAAGAAGGGAAAGCTTGGCTCCTATCTGTGGTATTGTTAATAATAATGTCAATGATCTTTTGAATAATTTAGCCAGCATGAGTTGTTTAACTTAGAAATAGAATTGATTGTGCTTGTGATGCCTTATTACCTCATAAAGATATGACATAAGTTTCTTTGTAGGACTTCACTAGGAACTCTCTAATACCAATGAAACCGATCAACCTAGAGTCTTGATACCGACTTGTCATCAACCAATTTCTTAGGTCATGATGCCACCTTCTATATCTCACCTGTTGGTAAGCCTAACCCATAGCTCAGAACTAGAAACAGGGGGCTGTCATACAAAAGGGAAAAATGAGGAGCAAGAGCTATAAAAATGACAAGATAGAGGAATCTACATAAATATATATATGAAAACATCCCCTAGACCTATCACCAGCTAGGAACTGAACATCTAGTCTAAATAAGAATACAAGAATTTTACAAATACAATAAGCACATAAATGTCTTTTGTTATATTGGAATTGACCTTGGAGAGAAATTATCTTTAGTGAGCTTTGAAAAATGGGAACATAAACTAGCCAATTATTAGATTTGACACTATGTTTTTTGGCATTATTTCAACATCATCAAAATGATCAAGTTCTAGCAATTCATGCCACTCATTCCATACGTTAAAAGAATAATAATTGAACTCAATTAGATATAAAAGTAAATTGAGGTTGCTGAGTATGTATGCTCTTTGAAATAATTCATTGAAATTCATGGAAAAGTCACCTAAATTCAACACATTGAAATAATATTCTCCGTTAAAGTTCATTAAAGTTAGTTAGACATTTGGAGATTGTTGCTTTTGGGATCAAGATTTTTGTATAAGGTCCATAAAGTTGAAAACTATTAGGAAAGTTTGACTAAACCTCAAATTATAAATGGCATAACTAGCTACTTATGATAGAGGTCTATACACTAGTCTAATTATGACATTTATGATTTGAGGTATTTTCAAACTTTTCTAATAGTTTTAATCTTTGTGGTCCTTATGCAAAAATACCAACCCCAAAAACAACAAGCGCCAAATATCTGACCAGCTACTTCAATGAACTTCAATGGGGAATATCATTTCAATGTGTTTAATTTAAGTGACTTCTCTACGAATTTCAATGAATTATTTCAAAGAGCATGCCCACCTCAACTATCTGAATTTCTTTATATAGTTTCACTGAGTTTAAATAATTATTCTTTGAACATATGGAATGAGTGAGATGAATAACTTAAATTTGATCATTTTGATGCTTAAATAATGCTAGAATAGAAAGATGTCAAATCTAACAACTGACTAGATTACATTCCTATTTTTCAAAGCTCAACTAAAGATAATGTCCCCACGATGTCAGTTTTAATATAACAAAAGACAGTTCTTTACTTATTGTATTTATTTATACTACTAGATGTTCGATTAATGACTGATGTCAGGTCTTGAAGATGGTTTCTTGTACATATTTTTATTGATTCTTTTTTCCTAATTGTTTTTTGACTCTAGCTCCTTATTGTTATATTCAGAATGATAGACCGTTGCTTCTAGTTCCAACCTATTGGTTAGGCTTATCTAACGCTATAGGTTGACCGACTTCGTTGGTATGAGAACAAGTGTTTAATTAATAGAGTTATACAGAAACATTTGTATCCTATCTTTTGGAGGCTATAGAGAATTACCACTACAATCGGTCCAATTTATATGTGACACCCCAGCTTAAGAAAAGAAATTTCACATCGATATAAATAAAGAAGAGATGTTGGATATATAAGTAAGAAGATCTTACCAACTGGTGACGTATTTTAAACTCATGCGAGCTTGGACCCAGAGCGAAGAATATCACTAATAGGTTGGACCATTACAAATTGTATCAAAGCCACTCTTGTATTAGTATTGTTGATGTGGGATGTGGTATCACAATGACAAAATGTCTATATTGACAATGTGTTCAATCGTACAAGATGCACCTCGAATCACCCAAAATGAAGGTTTAGAGCTCTCACATTCGGTCTTTGAAAATAGGGAAGAATGCTGAAAGTCGAGATTTATAACTTTGATCTTATCTCTAAAAACCTATTTTTCATCGCTAAAAGTTTAAACCATCAAAACCAGATTTTGTTATCCCACGAAATTCTGTATTTTCTACTCAATAGAGATGTCTACTCACTATATGCACAACTTAAAAAAATATCCTAGAGAGAGAATCTCTCCCTTCTCACTAAAAAGATTATATTCCCATTATTTTTTTGAGTGGAGTTTTGGCTCCGACAGATGTCTCACACGGTGGACCTATCGGCCCTTAGGCAAACACTAAGGAACCACCGTCCCCCCGACAATCGTGTGCAGACCCCTATCCCTCATGGCGAAGATCCGTTTACCCCTCTCCCAAAGTCCAAAATCCCTTCAATCCAAACTAATTAGAATTCCGCCCATTCGCCCTCTACGGTGGACACAAATTACGCCTAAATTACTCAAGTTCCAAAGGAGGTCCTTAAAGTCTTACAGGTAACTCCCCAGGAACTATCCCTCTCCTGTATGAAGTTCCAGTTCATAGTTAGTATGCAAACTCTACTATCAAAGGATCAATAGGCCAAAATCAACTAAACTGGCTCCTAGAAGCTATGAATTGCAGGATGGCAAGCCAGTGGTCTTCTTCATTGTACAAGAAAATGAACTACTTGCCCAAAAGTGTAAATGGACTATTATAGGTAAGTTCCCGTGTATACGTCTGTCTATAGATATTATTCGCAAAAGAATTCGCTAAGATGATTTAAAGTAAAAGAGTGGTAAAGATTGGGGGCATATGATATGTATCATGTCTTTTTGGATTTTGAAAACATAGATGATCATCTCAATGTGTACTCTAAGTGCTTCCTCACATTCGGAGAGAACCATATCATGAAAATTCTTAGATGGACCACTGATTTCAAACCAGAAGCAAAAAGCACATTAGCTCCGTTTGGATTTACCTCCCAGACCTTCCTTGGAATTATTATGAATGGGATGCTATATGTCGTATATGTAACCTATTGGTACGCCGCTTATCATGGATAAAGCCACTAGCTCCGAGACTAGGCCTGCTACTGCTAAAGTTGAAATAGAGATCGACTTTACTAGACTATTGACTAATGAAATTCTGGTTGAAATTAGAAATAATGAAGGCAAGGTGATGATCATAAATCATAAGGTTGAATACGAAATCATCACTGTATTCTGTTTTCATTGCAAAGTATAAGGTCATAGAGATGAAAAATGCAGAAAACTACACCCGGAGCTGAGAAGTGAACATGCGAATGAGGTGTGAAAAAAAATGAATGATAATATCCATCAAGATAACAGGCAATTGGAACATCAACAGAGGCAAGCAACTAGAAAGGAGAAAGTTGTGATTACCAAGTCAACTGAGCAAAATCTCAACATTCCTCAAATGGTGCACAACCACAATGTTCAAACAGATGAATGACAAACTATCGGAAGAAGAGGCAAACCTATTAATAAAACTACCGTTGAAGAAAGCTCCAACATTCCTAAGAACGATGCTACCACAAGAGAATCAGATAGTGGAACTGATGGCACCCAAATGTTGTAGATAAAAAATGGGCAAACAAATGTGGTTAAATAGAGACTACAAATATTAACTCCAGTTCTGAAAAACAACTAAATGGTACTAAATTCCAACCTTCCCTCTATAAAGAATCACTTCAGTCAATCCAAATGAAAGAAAGGAAGAAAGCAACAGAAATCCAAACTCCAAAAACACCACGGTAATGTAAGAAGAGTCAGACAATAGAAGGAAAGTATCTATACTGACATGGAGGTGAAGGATAGTCCTCTAGTCAATATGAAAGTAGAGGATGTCAGCAATATCAACGAAAAAGAAAGCAAGTTCTCCTCAAGAATTACCATCCCTTTAGAGGTGATCCTAACTACCGAAGGAATTTCTAATGACATTTTTCCGCAGGATAACAATCTCAAACCTTTTTTTGGTCTTGATCTCATAACTACTGGAATGCGAGACGGGAACATCAATAAAGAAAAGGAGCAGGAAGAACTCAAAAGAAAGAACGTATTTTTTGAAATGAAAAATACTAACATCAAAAATCTTTCTCAAACCTTTGAGGTAGATAAGGATACTGCTTATAAAGATTGTGAATAAGACATCACAATGGAGAATGACACATGGGATCTGGGATCTCCCAAATCAGATGATGGTATTGTAAGAGGAAATAAACATGACAACCATGATGAATCAGTGACTAATACCCTTTCACAAGACCATTAAAGGTGATAAACTACAAAAATTTATCTCATATGGGTAATGGTATTTCTTAATTTATGGACTACGAAAATTCAAACAGCGGAGTTTCAAACTCCTACGACAATGATCAAAATGACCTCTACCCCAATGGTATCCATGATTAATACACTCTCGTGGAATATTAAGGGTATAGGCTCTCAAGGAGCTATTGAAAGGCTCAATCTCTTTAAAAATCAATATCATTCCCCCTATCTTTTCATCCAAGAACCTAAGGTGCACGAGAGTAGAATCGACAAGTACAAAAGACTTCTTAGTTTTCAACACTGTGCTCACAACATCCCCAACAAAATATGGATTTTTTGCGGAGATGATTATCAGTTGGACATTCTGGAAGATAAAGAACAACATATGCTTATTCATATTTCTCAAGCTCACCGACTTATCTCTTTCCACTTAATTGTTGTGTATGCTAAGCGTGAAGAGACCTTGAGAAGAGAACTGAGGGACAACTCAAGGACCACTACCAACAACATAAATGGTCCATGCGGTGTGGTTGGTGACTTCAATGTCATCACCGAACCACAAGAAAAATCAGGAGGAAGACCATTTAGATTTGAAGAAAGTTAAGATTTTTGTAATGTTTGACTGACTGTAATCTTCAAGATGGGGGATTCCTAGGGTCGATGTTCACTAAGAGTGATAATAGTGATCCCCCAAATACAATATGGAAAAGGTTAGATAGGTTAGTCTACAATGCTGAATGGTTTGACGAGTATAGGGGCACCACTGTCACTCACCTTTCAAGGACATGTTCTAACCATGCTCTTATGCTTATCACCCGTAACAACAACAATACCAACCACGTGAAATATTTCAAGTTGCTTAATAGATGGACTGATCAAGATGACTTTCGGACTATTGTCCAACAAGCTTGGGAAGATGAACAATCAGGCAATCCTTTATATGTCCTTTATCAGAAGATTAAGAAAGTCTGCAATAATCTTAGTTCTTGGTCTAGATCAGCTTTCGGAGATTTTTATGATGAACCAAAAAAGCTTGAAACTCTCATAAGAACTCTTGAATAAGATTATGTTAAACTAACAAGCAGGAGACTAAAGAAAAACATTCTAAAGCTAGAGTTGATTTCACCAAATTCATTACGCTCCAAGATAAGGTGTTAAGACAGAAAGCTAGAGTCAAATGGTTACAAGAAGGCGATGCCAACACTGCTTTTTTCCATGGAATTATCAAACATGGGAGGAGAAAACTCACCATCCACAAAATTAAGGATACTGAAGGTAATTGGGTGGAGGGTAACTTTGAAGTGGCCAATGCAGTTGTAAAATACTTTGAAAATCTTCTCAGTGCTGAGAAGGTGCTGGAAGATGACAATGTATTACATGTTACTAAAGGGTCGTAAGTGAAGATGACAACAAGGCTATTACTGTTATTCCTACTATGCAAGAGGTGAAAGTGTATTTTCTATAAACCCTGATAGTTCTCCAGGACCAGATGGTTTCAATGGCAAATTCTATCAAAGTGCTTGGAATATTATTGTTAATGACTTGCATAATGCCATTACCTTTTTCTTTCGAGGTGCCACTTTGCCTAAATTTTTCACTCATACTTGTGTTATCATGCTCCTTAAAAATGAATGTCCTCAAATCTTTTCTGACATCAGGATCATTAGCCTTTGCAATATGTCAAGCAAGATAATTGTCAAGCTTCTCAATGCTAGGCTTGGTGGTATTCTCCCCAAAATTATCAGTCAGAACCAAAGTGGCTTTGTAAAAGGGAGAGCTATTATTGTGATTAAATTAGACAGGACTAAAGAATATGTCAAGAGTTTCTTGGCCATTTCTGTGCTTCATGCTAAGGAAATTGGGTTTTGCTGAATCATGGACAGACCTTATTTTTAGGTTTATTTCCAATAATTGGTACACTATACTAGTTAAAAGGAGTAGACATGATTTTTTTAAATCAGGAAGAGGTCTCAAACAAGAAGATCCTTTGTCTACATCCCTCTTCATATTATTGTCCCTTATATTTAATGAACTTCATCACAATAATAGGTTCAAAGGTTTTTACATGAACAAGCAGAGGCCGAAAGTTAACCATTTGGCCTTTGCTGATGATACTATTGTTTTTAGTAATGGCTCTCGATCTTCTTTAAATTTGATTTTTGACACTTTAGCTATGTATGAAAAGGTCTTTGGACAATCTATTAATAGAAACAAGTGCAGTTTATCTTTGGCTCATAATGCCTCTCAAAGATCTATAGAAGAGTGGAAGAATTTTAAATATGAGGTTTGAAAATTTTCCCATAAAATATTTGGGGCGCCCCATTTATGTCGAAAAGAAAAAAAGTTGAATTCTTCTCTTGAAATGGTTGCTAAATTCGTAAATAAGATTAGACGATGGCATCTCGATTTCCTTAGCTCTGGAGGAAAGGCAATTCTTATTAGGCATGTCCTCCAGGCCCTCAATGTTCATATCCTTTCAAAAATTTTGACAATTTTCTTCCTCTTTTGGCTCAGGACTCAAAATAATTGTGTGGTAATGGTATGTAAAGGTCATTTTCGAAAAATGGGTTCTCTCACCAGAGATTACATAAACAATTACAAAAATGCTCTGTAACAAAATTATCTATATCACATGTAATTTAATCATGGATATAATTAAATATGAAAAACTACAATGCTATTCTAAGAGGAAAAAAAACAAGCTCAAACAAAAAATTAGAGAAGATAAAGCATATTTAAGAAGTGTAATTTATTTTTCGACATCGAAATCGTAGACCAGAAAACTATGACATACCACAGGGTAAACAGAAAAATTGGGTAGATTTATCTCGCTCAAGTTTGCAATTCTATCACTTCTCCTTGGAATAACTGCAAAGATATACACATACAAATTAATAAATTATAAAACACTCGCATCAACAACAGAAGACTAAATTTCAATAATCAATTTTTTTAAAAAAAAATAAAATAAAATAAAAGTCGATAAATAGAAAAGATGGAAAGGAGAAGGATCAAAAGAACTAGAAGAAACTACATTCAATTAACTTTAAATTCAGTGAAAAATAAAAAATCAAACCAATCAAACAATAAATGGTAAAATAAGACCTAAAATCAAAATTAAAAAAAAATAAGAGCAACGATACCGTCTATTAAATACCACTGTAATTCTCGCGGCGAAATTTGAACTGAGAAAAAAAACCCTAAATATGAACGTATAAAAAGGTGGAAGAAAGCTAGTTTAATCTAAGGCCCACGCACGGGTCCAATATAATTAATTACAAACTCTTATTTTACAAATTTAATATTAGTCCTAATAAAACATTTAGCATAAATAAAGTATTAAAATAATCATCAAAGAATATAATACATTATATATGTTGCTTCTTTCTTAATCGGACTCAAATATAAATATTGAATACTGAAAAAAAAAATATTAAACTAAATTAAACCAAAAAACATTTTCAATTATAGTTAGTATTAACATGGGCATATTCAATTTTTAAGTTTTAAAACACTCAAGTGGAACATGTAATTTATTTTATTTTGTTTTTATACAATATGATACAAATTTATTAGGATTCGAAATTATTTTGTTCGTTAGATTGAATTATTTATAATATAAAAATCATGAGTCGTTATGTATTATATATATATATATATATCTTTTCTTTGATATTTATATTGTCACGCCTGAGCCTACACTCTGAGCAGGACTGACACTCGAGAACTATTGATGGCTCAAGAGAACCTTTGGCCTAGCTTAACTCTTAGCGGAAGAGTTCACTCATGATAAAATAAAGTATTAAAATACAATCATACCAAACTGTCTAAATAGATAAACTGAGAATGTTTAGAAATAACATTCATCTTAGCCAAAGAAACAACTCAAGATCAACATAAGCCAATAACAAGATAATGACGAATTAACTAACTAACTATTTATGAAGCCTCTAAAACTATGAGGGATGTTCGGACAAGACCCCCAAGCATCCTAATAACTGAAAATTACTACAACAATGTAAAAGAGGATCCTCCGGAAAGCAAAGAGGCTCCACAAGACTTTAAATGCTCAAGTGGATCAACGAAGCACTGGATGTTAATCCTGGTTACATGTATCTGCATTATAATCAAGATGCAGGTCAAATGACGTCAATACATTGAATGTACGAGCATGCGAGGGGAATACTATAACAAGACATAAGCTTGAAAGGGATTGAAAAAATATATCTGGACTCAACTTAACTTATTTCAATATAAAGCAATAATATGAATACAATATAGAGAAAAGCTTTTAAAACATTGATAACACCTCTCTGTATTTAGAAATACAATAGTAATTGTGTATGCAAAGATACAATATAAATTATGGCATTTATATAAAAATACAATTTACTTTTATGTATCCAAGAATACAAAATACTTCCGTGGAAGTTTCTCTAACCAACAACCATCACTTAAGAGCTATTGTGATAATACATCATTTTTCCTTACGTTGGGATGTCCTATACGTTGTCGAGGGTATAAAACCTGACTACTAAGTGGATCCACTACTATATGCTAAAAAGCACTAAAGAATCATCTAAAAAGTATGACCTTTTTCTATCCATGATGGCTACATTGTTTATGGGGGCTCGGAGTTGTCTAAACTCACCCTCATATCGGTGCTCAACACTACTCCCAAATATAATACTAGCTCTTATTTTTAAAAACATAACTTCTTTTGGTGTTTGAGATAATTGCTCAAAACTTACCGCAAAGGCTCTCTTGGAAATCAAAGTTTCCTCTCCCGCTTCTTTGTGAAAACATTTACTCTTTAATGTAAAACTAGCTCAAAGACTCTTTTGAAAATCAAAGTTTCCTTTTTTACTTAATGTGAGACATTTTATCTTTGAGAATACATAGTCCTGATATACTCTTTTGAAGAAATGAACTTCAATCTTTACTCTTTACTCAAATCAAAATTCAAGTCTTAAAACAAAGTTAAAACATTTGTAAATGACTTTTGAAAAACATTATGAACTTCTCTCTACTAGATTCAAGGCTCGTTATCTCATGTTATGGACGATTTCATGTTGTGTAGATGTACCTTAGAATGTAGAAGTCAACTAGAAAACATAGGAACATTTCAAACTCGCACGCATAGAAGTGGGAAAGGGTTGAAAACCTTGCGTCCCTAGCACTCTGAGTGGCGTGGGATGCCAGACCCAAACTTCAGACGCTGGCTTGGGGTGCATTAGCTGGAGCCTCACCCCAAAGGCGCAACTTCAGAACCCCAAGTGGGGCGCTCTGGCTGGCGTGACTCCCCAGACCCCTGCGCAGAAAATCCCATTTTTCTTGCTTGTTTTTCACTCTAAACCCTCTCGATTCTATTATTTCTTTCCTCAAACACTTAGATTCAACTACATAACCACAATATGCAAGAATATACTATTAACGACATCCAATTTCATGAATTTAAATCAAGAATTTCTCAACAACTTCAACATTCAAGAACCCAATAAAAACTTCAAACAAATCCATCAAGAACTCAATTTCTATACTTTCAAGAACAAAATCTCGTTGAATAAAATCATGATTTCCACTTGGGGTTAAACTAACCCAATGCTATGTGATCTCACATACCTTGTAGGGATCAACCCCAGACAAAATCCTCAAGCAATTCTTTAAAAAATCGGTGATTACAAGCTATTTCTCTTCTTTTCTCCTCTTCTTTTCTCTTCTCTCAAAACCCTAACATATTTTTATGAAGCGTAAATTGATACAATCAGTTGAGCCCCCAAATTAATTAACAAAAACGAATTCAATTGATTGGGGAGTGAAAAGACCATAATACCCTTCTAAAATCTTGTTTTGACTTTCTTTATCTAGACAACCCAACTTCAAATGTGCATATCTCCCTCATATGAACTCAAAATTGATCAAACTTGGTGGAGTTAGAAACATAATTCAAAGATATTTTCTACGGTATCTTGTAGCGCACCTAAATCATCCTAAGCTAGGAGTTATGTTTGTTTGAAGTTTACCCAATACTCATAGTTATCTTAACTTTGTTAAACTTCTAAATTTAATTATTTCCAAAAACGGTTTCTTTCTAATCTAAGTCTTTCTAGTGGCGAGGTGTTATACAGATTCCTTAATTCCATCTCCACATAGTACATTTGATATAACTTTAATTTAAAACCACAAGATTAAAAAATCATTTTTAATTTCTTCAACTTCGTGTCTGTAACACCTTGGAAATATCTAAGTTAAGGCCCAACCATTCTTCATTCACTATAAGGTCATATCGGGTGATTCCTAAATTATTTTTAGGTGTTAAGGTAAATTCTTTAGTATGAAAATCAATATGAATATGAATTAAGGTCACTAGAATCCTCTAACACAAGGTCGAGTTGTAACCTTCATACCGATTAAGTTTTGATATAAAATTTTACTTAGATCAACTTCAAACAATGATATGTATCAACACAGAATTAATTAGGTGTCTCATGACCTATCAAATCAAATATCTATGAGTCCTCTTTCCAACTCCGATAAGTTTGCCTCATTTTGAGTTCATAGTAAAATGTTATAACTATTTTATGAGAGACTACCACCACAGAGTTTCCTGAGTCAGTGACCTACTAATTACTTCTACGGGACGTAGAAGTTTTGCGACCCATATTATTCATATGTGAAAAAATTATTCGGAGTCAAAACTTTGGGTTGGTTCTTACAGATTGGATCTACGGTCCCTAGAATCTTCTACGTGTCGTAGTTTAATTTGGACTTGTAGGATTAACTTCTGAGCCTTAAATTTCAATATAAATTCCACGAATAGGATTTATAGTCTGTAGATCAAACTATGAGCCATAAATGGCTTCATGGAAGGTTTTCGACAGTTTTTTAAGAGAGATAGTTTAGGTCTTTCCTCGCAAAGTTATAACCATGATTGATTGGCACCATAAATATAATTTTTTTTGAAATATTCGTAGGAGAAACTTTATATGCACGACATTAATAATAATTACTACAAATATTTTAATATTTTATTTTATTTAATATATATTTCTTTATTTATTACATAATATTTGAATATGAATATTATAGAAGGATTATTTACCAAAAAATAACTCTATAATAAATGTCACAATTATTATAAATATAAATAATATATTACTGTAAAAGAAAAAAAATATAAAATAAAATCAATTTTAAAATTATCATACCATTATATTAAAATACTATTATAACGACGCTTTGCAGCTTTATGAAGGGTAGTTGAAAGATAACCAAAAGTTTCAATTCCCAATAGATTTCCTTACGGCGAACTTAAAGAGAAAATGTTGGCTTGTTTAATGAACTTTGTTGTATCTAATAGTTTCATTGGCTTCATTTTCATATATTAAACTTTGTTGTATTTAATAGTTTCATTGGCTTCATTTTCATATATATGTTATAGGTATTTAAATTTATACAAAGTTTAATGAGTGAGCATATCTATTTTATGTGGCATAATGCATATATAGAACAGAAATTGTCACATAAAATACTTGTATCTAACGTTCAATTTTATATAAATTTTGAAATCTGCTTATGTATGTACGTCCCAAAATTAAAAGACATAAATATCATTTGAAATTTAAGTTAAAAAGTATGTTTACGCATTATGTCTTTAATATATATAAATTGTTGTGTAATTCTTATATCCTACACAAAAGTATATTGAAACGGATTTTATATAAAATCTAGTTTAAAGGCATATTTAAATATTATAATTTTAATATTTATGAAACTTTGTGCAATTCATATATCCTACGGAGAAAAAATATTGAAAAGAATGAATAAAAATTTCATCGGAATGAAAGAAGAAGTGAAAACGTAAATATGAAAGTATTAAGTTTGCTTGATATTTGCATTACTTTTTAGAAAAGGAACAAAATTTAAACAATACTTTTAAATTCTTCCATTGTGAGTAAAGCTGTTTTAGATTATAGATTTGTGAATGAAAATATTTATTTCTTTATTATTTTTATTTGTTCATTATATTATTTTGAATCGTGCAATAATACTTATCATAAAGCAATGGATAATATCATGGTGTCTCTTTAACCTTTGCTATTATTCATTCTTTAATGTTTAGATGACTTATATTTAATAAGTGTGATTGGGTAAAATTACTCCTATTATTTGCTGCTTCTTAATTTCTATGTCAAATCAATACTCCTTTCATCCTTTTTTATATGTCATTTTTTATTTTACACTTGCATTAAGAAATGATGTAATTTTA